CAACAAAAATGCGATATTTCATTGTATATTTACTAAAATTATTGATGCAAATGACACACATTGGTGGGATTTTAGGAATCCATGTTTTATTATTGAAATTTGCTCATTTCCTTCCTTTTTTCTGTTAAGTAAAGAAGAAAAAATATTAAGAAATAATTATAGAACTAGATAAACACTCAATTTGAATAATGCATCATTGCTAAATTTATTAATGTTGTAATATCTGTTGTGTGTGCTATAATTAAAACAGTAAAATATTTATAAAAATTAGAGTATTGTATAATTTAAAAAAAAATTAATATAGGCGTAATTTGCAGGCATGTGTTTTTAAATTGTTTAAAAAGTATTGCAAATTTAATTGCTCAAAATGTTGGCCACCTGTTCATTATTTTTATTAAACTATAAACAGCTATAAAACTATATATATTGTATTTGTTTTTTTATTCCATAATCATTTATTATTTTATAGATTATTGACTGTGTTAAAGAAAGGGAAACTGAACTGGAGGATGATGTGTATAAAAGTAAGTTAGTTGATATAAAACAAAATTGTAGTGCTACTCAAATATAAAAGCAAATCGACCTACATATATCAGTGGCAGAAGCGAGTGCTAATGATCATGACCACCAGCAGCCACACACATTTTGTAACTGGGATCGTCACACAGAATGCTTAGGCCTGGCCAAATTTCCTTTTTTGCATTTGAGATTTTTGTCTTCTTGGAGATGAAAAAATTATTATAAAACGATTGTTGAATAGTACACCCAAATTAACAAGGAATAATCATTTTAACTCAGTCTCACATGACCTGTTTTCAAACAATCAAATAAATGGAATTACAACTGTGGTGTTGCATAATAGCTACAGTATTTAATAGTAAATTTTGTGGAAATAGAAAATTAAATTTAAAATTTATATGTAAAAATGACTCCAAACTTGGGCTTGGCTTTTATATCAAATATAATCAAGTTTAGCACATATAAAATTTATTATTATTTAATGTTTTTATTGTAATTAATTTAAATCTTGATTCATTTATTAAAGCAACATTAATCTGTACACTGATTGTGATTCTATTATTTTATTTTTAAAGTATTAAACCTTTCTTTTCTTCCATTCAGAGAGAACACTACTTCAATCGCTTTCTAGTACAAATAATATAAGTAAGAGCAATGACAGTCAAGTTGTTGAGAAGGATTTAGAAGAAGGTATGTTTTATTTATTGTTTATTAATGATTGGAAAAAAATATACCGTAATAAGTGAAAAATATATAAAACAAGGTCAGTCACTCAAAGGCAATCAGATTATTAGAGTTTGTTCAAGTAATGTATAGCAGCCGTTTAGTAGTCAATTTTTGGAAAGAAAAATTTAAAAAAAAATAAATTTATCAATATAGCCAAAAGTATGAAGTGATCATTTCCAGATAGTTAAACTCCAATGATTCTCACCATTTATTTGAATTAATTTGAATCACAGTCTTGTTTAGAACAAAAAAATTCATTTATAGAGATATGGTTGACTAAACTGTTTAAAATTCAGATTATAATGATTTTAAATTTAAAGATTGGAGGTTCCGAGTTTGTATCCAAGTGAATCATTTTATATGTAAAAATGACTCTAAATTTTATATGCGTTAATCTTGTTTATGTTTGATATTAAAACCATTATTTAAATTTTATTTATATCCTTGTAATTAATTTAAATTTATTTATTAGGAATTTTAAATCTCATTTATCAACACTAAGTTATAATGATTAACATTTTAAATTGTTTATTTGTATTCTTCAAAATTGGTATTTTAGATAATATTTTTGAAATAAGATTGTCTATTGCATATATTTTTAAAAGTTTTAAATTTCATGTTTGAAACATGTGTTCTGGGAGATCAACATTGACAGTGATTGAGTTCACTTTTTTGGAATCCCTTCTCTGCACTGCCGTCAACCTGATTTTGTGTTTTTATTTTTGTATATTATGAGAAGAAATATATGAAATGAAAATGAAAATTATTTAATGTTTTTATTTTAATTAATTTAAATTCTTGATTAATTCATTAAAAGTAACATATCTGTAGATTGAATTGAAGTTTTACTATTCTGATTCAATTATTTCATTTTTAATTTATTAAATAATTTTTTTTTCACATTCAGAGGGAACACTACTTGAATCGCTTTCTAGTACAAATGATATAAATAAGAGCAATGACAGTTAAGTTGTTGACAAGGATTTAGAGGAAGGTATGTTTTATTTTATTGTTTATTAATGATTGCAAAGATAAAATATACCGTAATAAGTGAAAAATATATAAAACAAGGTCAGTCACTCAAAGGCAATCAGATTATTAGAGTTTGTTCAAGTAATGTATAATAGCTGTTTAGTAGTCAATTTTCGGAAAGAAAAATAAAAAAAAATTCATTATTACAGCCAAAAGTATGACGTGATTGTTTCTAGATAGTTAAACTCCAATATTCTCACCATTCAATCGAATTAATTTGAACCACAGTCTGGTTTAGAAAAAAAAAAGGTCATTTATAGAGATATTAGTTGACTAATCTTTGTTTAAAATCGAGATTATAATGATTTTAAATTTAAAGATTGGAGGGTCCGAGTTTGATATATCCAAGTGAATCATTTTATATGTAAAATTGACTCTAAACTTGTGGTTGGTTTTAATATCAAATATAACCAAGCTTAACGCCTATAAAATTTATTGTTATTTAATGTTTTTATTGTAATTAACTTAAACTTTTGATTCATTCATTAAAAGCAATATTAATCTGTACACTGAATTTAAGTTTTGCTGTTGTGATTTTATTATTTCATTTTTAAATTATTAAATTATTTTTTTTCATTCAGAGAGAACACTACTTGTTTGTAGTACAAATGATAGAAATGAGAGCAATGAAAGTCATGTTGCTGGCAAGGATTTAGAAGAAGGTGTGTTTTATTTATTATTATTTATTACTGATTGTTTTTGAAAAATTAAGTATACCAGAATAAGTGAAAAATATATAAAACAAGGTCAACCCCTCAAAGGCAATTAATTTAATAGAATTTATTCATGTGTTGTATAATAGCTATTTAGTAGTCAATTTTTGGAAAGAAAAATATAAAAAATACATTATTATAGCCAAAAGTATGAGGCAATCGTTTCCAGATAAACTCATTTGAATTAATTTGAGTTAAAATGTGGTTTAGAAAAAAAAGTCATTATAGAGATATTGGTTCACTAATCTAAGTTTAAAATTCAGATTACAATGATCTTAAATTTAAAGATTGGAGATTCCAAGTTTGTATCCAAGTGAATCATTTTATATGTAAAAATGATTCTAAACTTGGGCTTGATTTTGATATCAAATATAATCAAAATTAACACATAATTATTGTTATTTAATATTTATATTGTAATTAATTTATATTCTTGTGTCATTCATTAAAAACAACATTAATCTGTACACTGAACTTAAGTTTTCCTGTTCTGATTCTATTCATTTTTAAAATTAAATCTTTCTTTTCTTCCATTCAGAGAGAATACTACTTGAATCACTTTCTAGTACAAATGATAGAAATGAGAGCAATGACAGTCAAGTTGTTGACAAGGATTTAGAGTAAGGTATGTTTTATTTATTTATAAATCAAAGGCTTTGATGAAGAGCAAAGAAACATTTTCTACTGTACTGTAACTGCATTCCACCAAGCATGTCCTGTGTGATCTGAATTGTTGAATTATGGTTTTGCTCAATTTGACACGTCAGTTTGAGCAACACATACATTTTACGAAGGTTTTTGAAGAACAGAAAATATAATTAATTACTCAAGCATACTTAGAGCGCCTTATTCGGATAATTAAAATATTTAACCAATTAGCAATTTGAAAGGGAATAGAATTAGTATTTTTATAACATTTGAACAATCACATTGTAGTATTTGAAATTTTTTTTAAACTACGCATTTCCGGTTGATGTGATGTAAACAATGCATTAAGTGCTGGGGGGGAGGGGAGTGGGGTGACATATATGCAGGAATATACAGTATTTTTTATATGACAATTTCAAGATTTTGTAAAGTTGAGTTTTCACTTATTTTACACAATAATATTATTTTATCCCTCAGATTCAACATTTCATATATCAAGGGACACAACCATTAGCTCCATAGAATGTAGGAGCCGGCATAAAGAAAAGGAAGAATTGGTAGAAAGTGATGAAGAATTGATTACAAGCAGTGATGATTATGTTCCCGAAACTGATTCGGATGATGAGAGTTCATCATATTCGGAAGTATATCCATTGCCAAAAAGGAGTAACCACAATGTTGGTAGAAGTGAAAAAGAAAAGGGTTTGATAATTCCAAAACACCTGGCAAGCAGAAAAGCAAAAAAAATCTCCAAAAATCCTAAGGGTAATCATAGTATGGTCACTGGAATGACCACTAATAATTCTTCTATATCAAGTGACAGAACCATTAGCTCTATTGAATGTAGGAGTCGGCATAAAGAAAAGGAAGAGTTGGTAGAAAGTGATGAAGAATTGATTACAAGCAGTGATGATTATGTTCACGGGAATGATTCGGGTGATGAGAGTTCATCACATTCAGAAGTAATTCCATTACCAAAGAGGAGTAACCACAATGTTGATAGAAGTGAAAAGAAAAAAGGGTTTGATGAATCCCAAACACCTGGCAAGCAGAAAAGCAAAAAAATCTCCAAAAACCCTAAGGTTAATCATGGTATGGTCACTGGAATGACCACTAATAATTCTTCTATATCAAGTGACAGAACCATTATCTCCATAGAATGTAGGAGTCGGCATAAAGAAAAGGAAGAGTTGGTAGAAAGTGATGAAGAATTGATTACAAGCAGTGATGATTATGTTCCCGGGAATGATTCAGATGATGAGAGTTCATCACATTCGGAAGTAAATCCATTGCCAAAAAGGAGTAACCACAATGTTGATAGAAGTGAAAAGAAAAAACGGTTTGATGAATCCCAAACACCTGGCAAGCAGAAAATCAAAAAAAAATCTCCAAAAATCCTAAGGGTAATCATGGTATGGTCACTGGAATGATCACTAATAATTCTTCTATGTCAAGTGACAGAACCATTAGCTCCATAGAATGTAGGAGTCGGCATAAAGAAAAGGAAGAGTTGGTAGAAAGTGATGAAGAATTGATTACAAGCAGTGATGATTATGTTCCCGAGACTGATTCGGATGATGAGAGTTCATCACATTCGGAAGTAAATCCATTGCCAAAAAGGAGTAACCACAATGTTGATAGTAGTGAAAAAGAAAAAGAGTTTGATGAATCCCAAACACCAGGCAAGCAGAAAAGCAAAGAAATCTCAAAAAAAGCTAAGGTTAATCATGGTATGGTCACTGTAATGACCACTAATAATTCTTCTTTTCGATCATATGATAAACCAGCCTACTGTTATGTATGCTCTCGCCCTATGAAAAAACTGATAGTTCACATGATTCAACACAGTAATGAGCCCATGGTTGCTAAATGGTTAGCTGCTAAGAAAGGACCAGATAAAGATAAATTATGGATCAAAATCCGAAATTATGGGAATCATCTTCACAACTACGAGGTATTAAGAGAAGGAGTTGGTCAACTAATAGTTGTTTATCGCCCAAATGAATATGGGGATCCCAATGATTACCAACCGTGTGTTGATTGCCTTGGATACTTCTCTCGAAATGAGTTCTACAGACACAAGTGCAAATTAAGAATGGTGAAGGATTCTGAAGATGTTGAAATAAAGACAAAAAAATGTAATGTCAAAGATGGACGTATGCTGTTACCTCCGCCCAAAGGTGTACTTGCTGGTGAGGTGCTCCACAAAATTTTGTGCTCCCTTCAAAGTGATGATATATCCAGATGCATCAAAGGAGATTCTGTTATACTGGATTTGGCCAAAAAATTGTGTTTCAAACATGGTCATGACAAAGAACAATTTAAAACACTACGTTGCAAACTTAGAGAATTAGCACGTCTGGTATTAGAATACCGGCATATTAGTGGAAACGAGTGTGCTACAGCGCTTGACTTAATTGTGCCGTCAACCTTTACAGTTCTACTCAGAGCTGTGAGAGGTGTTTCCGGATTTGATAATGAAACACACCAATACAGAACACCAAGTTTAGCTCTAAAACTTGGGCACTTACTAAAGAAAGTGGCCATGCTTATTGTGTGTCAGGCTTTGACTGAAGGAAACACTGCCAAAGAGAAGCAGGCCAGAAATTTTATCACCCTATATGAAGAAAACTGGGAATGGGAAGTGTCATCACATGCATTAAGAACACTCTATCAAGATAAAAGGAATAATCCAAAGTTAATCCCGTTAACTAGCGATGTAGTCCTGCTCTCAAAATACTTAAGGCATGAAGCAGATACTACTTTAGCTGATTTAAGAACAGGCAAAGAAATAAAGAAACACTGGAGAAAACTTGCAGAGATTACACTAACACAAATTCTGTTTTTTAACAGAAAACGTCAAGGAGAGATTTCAAAAATGACAATGTCAGACTATAGAAACTTAAAGAAAGGAGAATCACAGGTGGTTGATATGAAAATGTTGAGCAAGTTTGAGCAAGATTTAGCAAGATTCATCTGGCGAGTGGAAGTTGTTGGCAAACGTGGGAGGTCAGTGCCTGTACTGATCACCGAGAGTGTGAAATCAGCTGTCGATGAGCTTGTAAAGCAAAGAGATACAGTGGAAATAGCTAAAGATAACCTCTATGTATTTGCTATTCCAGAAGGGTCAACTAATTGCATTCGTGCATGCGACACATTGCGTAAATTTTCAAATGCGTGTGGGGCAAAACAGCCAAACTTACTAAGATCTACACAACTTCGAAAGCATATAGCAACTATGTCCCAGATAATGGCATTACAGGATAACGAATTAGATGTTCTAGCAAACTTCTTAGGGCACGATGTTCGCATTCACAGAGAATACTATCGCCTGCCCGATGCAACAATTCAAGTGGCGAAAGTTTCCAAACTGCTGATTGCGCTCGAAGGTGAAGACCCAGGACAGGTTTTACAAGGAAAAAGTTTGGATCAACTCAACCTGCAGGAAAATGAAGGTATAGTTTTATACAAACACCAATTTTTCACGTCTTGAAATGTCAGTAATTATGCATATACAGTATATAGTAACAATTCACACTAAACTGTATATTGCTGTATTGATTGCCTTTTTTGTATTAAAGTTTCAATGAATTAATTAGACTATCAAATGACATTTTTGAAATTGTTTGTAAACTATGCATCAGTCCTAACTATACTCTTTGATATTTAAAATAATTTATTAATAATGTGATTCATCAGCAATATCTGCCATACTAAAAATAACACACTTCCATGGTCAATTTATATACTGTAATATAATATTGAAATATGACTTTGATTTGTGGCATTATATTGATTTTAGCCTATTTTACATGTTTTCAGGTCAAATACAATTTCAAAAAAGTTCTACATGAAAATTATTGCACATATTGTACTTGATATTGAACCATAAGTCACAGACAGGCAATTTTTTGTAAATGTTTTACTCAGCTTCTGACCCCTCTACCATTTTTTAAAATTTAATTATGATCGATTTTTTTTCTTTTATGGTTAGAGGTTGCAGCAGAAAGTAACGATGAAGAAGAATCTGATTTTGATGATGACTTTATTGATGAGCCAGTACATAACCGTGAAATAGAAAAAGAGAATTATCAACAAAAAGGTACTCACATTCACTAATTTTAATCAGTATGATACTGTATGTAATTAGGCAATGAAATCAGAGAGGTTCTTTTCTCAAATGTCATTCAGTAAGAGTTTATTCAGAAACAGAGTGTTTCAGATATATTTAAGCTAAATCTGCTTGTGAGCTTCTCATTATAACAATGTTCATCCCTTAAATTGTCCGATTAGACATCTGGTGAGATATAAATATTTCCTTGATGAATCCCATTTTTTAACTTTTTTAATCTACATCAGTGTGTTTAGTAACCTGGCAGTAGCAACAGTGTAAATTTCCTGTAAGATGTTAATCAGTCATTCATATTTCTAATATCTGTAATGCATTAAAAGGTCAGCATTTGATGGTATCAAAGGCTTATTTAAAATACATAAAACATTCACATAAATCTACCTGCATTACATATGTCCCATGCTGTTCCATTCTCCTTTAAAGCAAAACCCGAGTTGTACATAGACAAATCGGGAATTCATACCCCTCAGTTAATTACTGTTATGGCCATGATGTGCTATAAGTCACAGGATAAGTGAGCTTTAAGGTCATTGAATGAGAGCTAGTTGTCTACCAGCCAATAAATAATTTCACATTGAGAGCTTGTCTAAAAAAACTATATTTTATTATATGTAAGAAATTAATCTGAATTATAACAACAGTTGTATTTATTAGAAAAAATAACCCTACCTACATGTTTGAATCGTAAAAAACGGAGCATTTTACAAGAAGTTACAACAATAAAAAATTTCATTTTTTGCCCTCCTACTAAGCCTGGGTCTCAGGTTATCCATGACTGTGGCGCGTGGATATTATTTAGTTTCTTTGCAGTATGTACTAAATTAAAACTATGTACCTTCTATCCTAAAAAATGTAAGGCTTTATATATAAAGTTGTCTCTGTATAATTAAAACAAAACAAACTTAACACAAGCTTAAAGTATTTCCAGCATGGTTCCAGCGAACTGCCAACTGATTAAGATTTATTACCTTTATTTTTCAAATGTGTATACACAGCAATTAACAGAAGGTCATCTAAAAGGGGTTGGAAGAGCCACATCTTGTTAAAGGAGAGTGGAACCTCATGTTTTAATTAATTGGTTTCAACTAATACTGATCAAATTCTACTAAGCTAACATTATATGCCATGTACTGTAGGAACCTGTGATTATTGTTTTCTTTCAAATATATTAATTTCCAAAGTTTCAATATATTTTATAGTGAGTAGGTTTTGCAATTTAGATGGTAACCCAATGCATAATAAACAGCAAAATGTAACAGTTTTTAATGCATTTTTTTCAGACAAAATTTTTACCATAATAAACCCAGGGTATTCTGTCTACTCTAAAGACGGTACCCCATGTTTGCAACAGACGAATGTTGTGTCTAAGTGAATGGTTTTGGCTAACATCTAACAAGCTTTGAGAAGCTTGTTGTTCAGAAATAACTATATTTCAATTTTTCTTGATCTAGGAAAAAAACGCAGACATGATGATCCCCAGGCCAAAAAAGCATTGACCACCCACAACCAGAAATTAAAAAAGACACCCTGGACGACCCAAGAAAAAGCGGCGGTTCATCGGCACCTAGGCAAGTACATTACAGTTTCAAAATTGCCTGGGAAGTCTGAAATAGAGAAGTGTAAGAGCTTAGAGCCTTGCCTACACAAAAGAAGGTGGTCCAATAAAGATTACATTCGAAACAAGATAACTGCTAATGCCCGAAAGGGAGACGAACCGTGTTTTAAAAAAAGAAAGTAATGAAAATTACCATTCTGCTACACTATAGTTCAGTCAGTCTATAGATTAACACCAAAAAATTGCAATAGATACAAATTTACCAATTAATATGCTAAAAGGACCTAAAAAAATCTAATAACAGGAAAGTCATACATTTAAAGATACTTAATTAACTTCTGATGCTTTGTTGCAACGTAAAATGCTTGTTGTTGCTAACGAATTATTAAAGATAAAATAGACAGCTACACAGAGCCATTGGTAACATACAAATACCAACGCGATGTTAAGCACACACTGCCATATGTTGATATGATTTATTCAATAATCTCTTCAAGTATTTACAAAAACAGAAAAAAATGCAAATTGATGTGGAGAGTGTATCACTAAAACGTCTGTCAATACAACTGCATTCACGCACAACAAGTGTCTACTGCATCTTAATTTTTATATTCTTTAGTTAGCAACAACAGACTTTCTGTGCTCTAGCACTGCAATTGTGCAATGAGACGCAAAAGTGTTAGAATTAAACTCATTTAATATACTTGAAATTTATAACAACTTTCCACTTTTCAGATTTCTTACATGTATATTAATAATATGTGGATATTTGTGCAACACATTTGCACAAAAAATGATTCTATCTATATTTTTTGGGTTAAGTATTTAGTACAGTATTTTTCTTAGATTGACTGGACTACTTACTGTTAATATACAATGATTTAGTGGAGTAACAAGTGTAATTGAATGGAACTGAATGCAACTTTGGTAAAACTACAGTAGTTGTGAGTGCGCTTATGTTGACACAAGTTGAGCAACATTCAGTTCCATTTATTTGTGCAAAGCACTTTAATATTGGCCAGTTGAGTTGAGTTGTTTTCCTTTCATTTTCATGTCAACGTAAGCCTGCCTTTAGAGGGGAGGAAAGTTAAGTTGGCTTATAGGCCACACATATTTCTGTTTGGTTTCAAATTTGGTAATTTTATGACGTTGGGTAACATGGGACTCAAAATAACTAGATCTTTTTATGTAATAACTGAGTGTTCTTTTAAAAGCACAGTTAAACTTTTATATTCAGCCCTTTATACTGGATGTTCATATTCAAAGTTTTTATGCTTACATGTATATCAATACTGTACAATTCAGTGCCATTGATCAGTTCCTTTATGTGTGCATGGAGGTATAAAAAAGAAGGAGATATAACCAAAGTAATCCCTTTGATCTATCAACGGAGCCGCCCTATGTTTATCTCGTTAAGAAAGTGATTATTTCTGGTATAGTAGAGTAGATATAGCTCAAAAAAGGGCATAACCCCCAAAAAATTGCAACAAAAGGTTTTTCAACGGATTTTGGTAGTATTAGATGTGCTAAATAACATACAAAAAGTCTTACAAAATCCGACCACCGGAAAGTAGTTCTTTTCAAGATGGCCGCCAAAATGGCGCCAATATCATAAAACAGCTACAAACTGTATTGTAATTGCGGGTTTTATCATCAATATCAGGCTTTATGGGTCAATAAGTCATTTGAGACAATTTTTAATGTGATGACCAATATGAATAAATTCAAAATGGCGTGCAAAATGGCCGCCATGTATAAACAGCCATAAATCAGTTATTATAACTACATAAGCTTTGTTGTTATTTGTTAATGATGTATGTAATTGTAAAAAACATCCAGCATTGTCTTATTTATCATTTAAAATTTTCGCTATTTTACCTAATGTATGTCAACAAGTCTTTGGAATAACCTGCTTTAAGAAGCTTTCTGATTGGTTAATTTGTCTTACGGCAATATATTTGACATTAGCAATTTTAGAAAAGTAACACTCAACATGGTAAACATGAATAAACAGGCATCAATAAATGAAGATTACTTTGAAGTGTCTTTTCATAATCTCTTGGTGAATGAATCTATTGCGCCCAAGCACTAAAAATAATATATTTTTGAAAGAAGTTCTCTGATTGGCATGATTCGAAGTTAAACTATCTCAAGTATATTTCCCGCACGATTAAAATCGTAACGGTACTGGTTTGGTCTACAAGAGCTCGTGCTTCGTATAGGTCATTCCATTTATAGAAGAAGCCTTTTTGATGGAGAAAGTGTACCTTTTTAACGAAATGGAAGAGCCAATAGCAAAGGTTTGCCTAGGTCGAAACTAACTCTGGCTATACAAAATTGATTATAAGATTGAAAAGTATTCACCTTATTATTGTAGTAGTGACACCATGTCCACATTTTATTATTGTTATTTATTCATTAAGGTTATTATATATTATTTATATTTAAATTTATTGTATTGTTTAAGTATAAATTATTTAACGTCCATGTTAAATTAATCTTATTAAAATTGTATTAAATAATATAATAATAGTCATAGCCGAGGCCTAGCCTAGGCCTAAACCTAGTGACTGTGTGTAGTATATAAAATTATGAATAAAAAGTATAAACAAACGCAAATTGTGAAAGAATAAAGGAAGGAGGAGAATAGGAAAGAGATTTTGGAGCGGGAATATACAAAAGTCGTCAATATGCCAATATTGTATTACGTTTTTGTAAACATTTTTGGGCACTAATTGTCAGAGCTCGGTGCCACGGCCTACACTTTTCATAATTCAACATCGATGTCCAATGAGGCTGCCGGCACCTTGACCTCTGACGATTAGTTCCAACAAATTTTCAAAATAAAAGTGATGCAATAATGACAAAATGATTATTATTGTTTATTTTCGGTAAATATTTCAGCCGCTCCAAAGTTCTTTCCACTTCTTTCTTCCTATGCTTCTTCTGTTTTTTCATTAAATTAAATTTAATATACTAATATATATTTACGCATAATATTTATATAAATATATAAATAAGTATATCATTTTCATACATATTTACATATTTTAACTGGATTCTAGAACTAGGCCTGTGTATACATAGTGTCTGTAATTAACATAATTCAATCATATTGTTCTATCATATCTTTATTTAAATATTATCAAATATTTTTAATCTTTAACGATTACATTATTTCATATAATATTTTCAAATAAATGTCGAAACACTTCTAATTAAATAAATTAAAACTCTGAAAGTAAATTTACGTAGATTAGATCAATAAAAATGGACATAGTAGTAATCCTTATATATTCATAAACAAGAATAACTTTTTCAATCTTCTAATCAATTTTATACAGCCGGAGTTAGTTTCGACCTAGGTAAACCTTGCTAAAAAGGTACACTTTCTCCATCAAAAGGCTTTTTCTATGAATGGAATGACCTGTTCGAAGCACAAACTCCTGTAGACCAAACCCAATACCGAAATCCACTCACGATGCAAAAGAAAAGGTAAAGCCAAAAGAAAAGATAAAGCCAAAACACTTGTAGATGAAAAAGCCATTAAAGTTGCTCCTGATAGAACCATTGACCCTGCCATTTTTATTCCAAAGATTCCTTGTTGTGTCAAATCGGGAGATCTTACATTAAAAGATGTAATGAGTAATAAACTTAGTCCGTTTCCACCATCACTTTTTGAGACTAAACATTTTTAGGAAGGCCAACAAACCACAATTTGTTCATCAACAAACCACAATTTGTTCAAGTTGTTATAGATCATGCAAGTAAGCTGTCAATTACAGCAATCTACGACACCGTACCGGAAACTGAATGTTGTGATCTAGATGGAGGCTGCCTTTTACATCATTATGGAAGAGAGGAGACAGTTACGGCACAATTGTACAGGCATACTCAGAGTTCGTCAGGAGAGAGTATGGATTGGCAACTGTTGTATTTGATAGTTGATGGGACTCCTTCTATAACAGACAATACCTATCAAAGAACAGGACAGAATATCCACCCAGATGTAAACTTTACGGCTAATACCGAGTTTGATGGCAAAAAGGATGAGTTCCTTTCGAGGCATAACAAGCAGATAAGATAGTATAATACATACTCCAAGTCAGGGACGTAGCCAGGATTTTGAAAGGGGGGGAGCCGTTATGCGAATTACGTATGCCCCCGGCGGGGTCAAGGGGCGAATCCCCCTGTGAAGTAGCGCACTCTGAACGTTCTTAGGACTGTTTGAGAGGATAAAGTGAAAATTGCAACAGACGCATTATAAATAAGTGAAAAAATAATTATATAATACATCAACAGTGACAGATCCAGGAATTCGAAAAAGAGGTGAACGAGGGAGGGACTTTCACAGACCGAGGAACCACCCACCTCAGCCCCACCATGGTTGGTAAAAAAAAAAAAAAAA